ATGCCCTTCAGTAAGATTATTAGTGTAATAGTCAAGAACTTCATTTGTTATTGCTAGGAAAGGCTATGGTGATAGTTCTTCATGTTTTAATTAATGTAAGTTATTTTGAGTTTTTTCTCTAAAGTTCTCTGCAAATTTAAGACTTAATTTATTAAATAATTCAGTTGTTTACATCTTCTTTTTTTCATACATGGAATATATTCACAAGCAGCTGCTTTACCAACAACTCTTTTAAAACTTCTTTGAAAATTAAATATTCAATAACCTTGTAAAGTTTCAACATAGAAATCAAACACTCTTCCATACAAGTCTGCTATTTCTATTAATTCTTCGTTTTTCGCTTTTGTTAAAATAAATTCCATTTTAGTGAAATCCATTTTTTAATCTATTGGAACAAATTGATATATGTTTTTTCAACTATATGTATCATGATGTTTTTCTCTAATTTAAAGTTTCATTATTTTTTTTTACTCAAGGTAAAAAATGATAATGAAAAGGTAGGTTTTTAGACAATGACTGCTTTTGCATAAAGTGGAAGTGAAATTCCCATAGGACTCATACAGATGCTACCAAAGTGAACGATAGCATCAATTTTACACTCTTTTTCGTTTAAATATTCAATATTATATTTTGAAGTTTTGTACCCATTTACTTTTGCTACTTTATATCTTGTTTTACCTTGTACTAAGTAAAGTTCTTTATTATCATAAAATTTTATTCATACTCAATAAAACTCTTATTACTCAATGCCTTTCTTTAAACATGCTTATAATTTTAGAATTAGGAACAATAATCACTTCTTTTACTAAACATGCTTATAATTTTAGAATTAGGAACAATAATCACTTCTTTTACTAAACATGCTTATAATTTTAGAATTAGGAACAATAATCACTTCTTTCTTTAAACATGCTTATAATTTTAGAATTAGGAACAATAATCACTTCTTTTACTAAACATGCTTATAATTTTAGAATTAGGAACAATAATCACTTCTTTTACTAAAAGATTGTAATCTGTTTTTATCGGGAAGAAATTCTTTATTTATTCAGCCGTTTGTGTTGTAATGATAAGATCACTTGCTTTCTTTGTATTTGTTATATCTCTAACATTATTATTCCTTCTTACTGTTTCTAAGTACTCTTTACGACGTTTAAGACGTTGACTAGTGTCACTCATAAAAGCTTAGTTTAATAAAGAAATAAATTCGTTAATAACGTCTTCTTTATTGTTTAGTAATAAGATTGGTCTCTTTTTTTCTGTTTCGCTTTTGTGAATAACACGTTCTGCTTGGGTTTCATTAGTTATTGAAATCAAGGCTCCTGATTACCAATATGACCTGTATACGTCACGCTTACCCGTAAAACATCATTATTACCTTTTCTAGGGTAATTCCATTTAAACTTTAAAGCTGGTGACCACCATCACTCAAAACAGTATTTTTATTTTCAGATAAATAGCTAACAATATCTTTAGTGTTATTCATATTGCTTCCGTTTGCTAACGTATAATATATAATCATATTTTCTAATTGTAAACTTTTTTAGTAAACATAATATTTACTTGTGTAAAAACAACAATGAGTCAAATTGAATAAAACAAGTGGAAAACCCTGATGTGGAACTCCCCTTCATGGATTGGCCGCTTAATAGTACTAAACCATCGAGGAGGTGATTGCCAATAAGCAGTATAATGTAGTGACGCCACTACTTGATTAGGTGTAAAAAATTTCCGGAAAGGTGTAAAAATGTTCAAGAGCAAAGTGGCCTAAAACCCCTATTATACTACTACTCCATTTGCACTTATGCCAGTTCGCACCTATGAAATTCGTCGTCCCCAACGCGAATTTCTTAATAACGTAATTCATTTTGTAAACAAAAACTTAACGAAAAAGCGCTAGAACTTTAGTTAATGTTGTTTTAACTTACGTTACACAAATTTTAAATAAAAATGCTTTAATTATTCATCGTTATTCAAAAGTTTCGATGTAAAAACGTAACATTTAATATTCTTTCACATATAATAATAACAAACATAAGTTTTTTTTAACTAAATTTTAGAAAAAACAAAACTTTATCATATTTTTGTTAACTTACGTGACATGAAAATTGCATTAGCTCTTTAGTTATTTTCTTAAAATATATTTATTTTATAAAGTATTAAATTTGGCCAACAACAATTTGAATAAGTTAGCTCCATTTTTACGCTAAATTGATTTTGAATGTGCAAATGAAATCATGGTTAGATAACATTTTAGAATAATACCTTTTTTATCAAGCGACAATGAGAAAAACCGTAACTCTTTTCAGCATAAAAATGACTTAAATAAATTAATTTTAGTGCTAAAGGTATATTTTAAATAAGCTTTTATGCGTCTACATCAATATTCATTTCCTAAAAGATGACGGAAAATAAAATAAAATTTGACTACTTTTTTATATTCCGCCGTGGCATTGCCTATCCCAACGGGCATTTGTTGATTTAAAATTGGTTTAGATCACGTTTAGATGGCATTTACCTCGTTCTAAACGTTTAGGAATCTATTCTAAACGAGTTCTGAATATTTAATTTGCTTTGAAAAGCTTAATCACACAGTTTCCGTACGGAACTAACTTAATTAAACTATTACCGCACAGAATAGGACAGACATTTTGAATCTTTCGTTATGAATAAAAACTAGAACTTCTTATGAAACTTAAATTATGTAATAAATGGTTTAGAAAAAATAAAAGAAATTTGTAAAAAGGAGTATTTTGTGGCTAATGAAGCAGCTAAAAACTCGATAATAATGTAAAAGAATTTAAAAGTAATTTTAAGTACAGTAACAATGTATTTTGATAATACTTTTCTTTAGTAGTTACTGCTACTAAAATAGCAATTTCAAAAAAGTAGCAGTTTCAGCATTTTTTTTAACTATTTTTTAAACTGTTTTTTCCGTTTGGTTTTTAACAACGCTATAGAGCATCTATAGTTAACTATTAGCTACCTAGTTTTTCTACTCTTAAAGAAAAAATTATGCATTTTAAGAGGTAACTATTCTTTAAAAAACTAGATAAAATTATTATTGTTTGTTTATATTAAGATCGAACATCTATTTGTTTATGATAGATATATATACTTTTAGTTCAGCCAATGCCAATCAAAAATTGTGAGATTCAAATGTTTATATAATGGATCTTCAGTTTTAGTGTAATTTTTTAGTGTAAACTGAAAAATATTTTCAAAATTTAAGTATTATTAATGCTCCTATATGATAACAACTAAAGAGAAATAAATTTACTTACCTCTGATATAATAGACTATTATATCATATCATTTATTTTCTCTTTAGTAGAAAAGTTAACATGGTTAGAACAATAATATATATATAGCTATATTAAATAATTTTCTAAAATCCGCGCGACCATATTTTTAATGTTAATATAGTTTGCGTGTTTAATTTTATTTAATATTTTATATACAGTCCAGTTAGTTGCATCAACAGTTAAAGCAGCAGGAAACGGCCAAGTACACATGCAAGTGGTAAATTGATTTTTTGCGACGTTTTTACTCCTTTAAAGTTTAGCATTCCTAAACTAATAATTAAGTTAATTATTTTTCTGTAACTATTGTCCTATAAATAAAAATTACAAGATAAACTGCCTACTCTGTAGTTTTAGATATGATTTTAATAGGTGAACATCTGTCAGATATTTACCTTTTAAATCATTATCTAATTGCTCAGGCTTATGAAAAGCTATTTATAAAAATTCAACGCTAAAAAGATAATGTTAATTTAAAGATTAAAGGTAATTCCTGTTTTATTTAAAAGGTACGTTGATAATTAGTTCAAATCTTTATATATTAAACTAATAAAAGGAGAGTTTGAATTGTTCTGTTTTTATCTTCTGTTCTATACCTAAAAGCTATTGAAATCATTACTGCATTATTATTCATTTATTTAATATGTTACGAAAGACCTACCAAGCCTAAAATTTAACGGGTCGAAATATATAGTATGTATATGTATATCAACCCTCGGAATCAGAAAAAACTAAAGTTGGCAAAAAAAGTAAACAACTGTATAATATCTAGTGTGGTAAACAAATATATATATTTTATATGTATTTGAAAAAATAAATGTATTAGTAAACTAAATGACTAAAATTATTTAAAACATCTTTAACAAGTTTAGTTACAAGTTAATGCTATGTGTTGATGTAACTTCAACCAATTGAGTGTTGACATTTCAGCAAAAAGTCATTTCGTCAGGCTGTTTGGTTGGAAGAACGAAAACCTTGATACTTTATTGAGTTGTTATTTCAATTTGTAAGATTATAATTTACATTAACAATATGTTAAATAATTTACTTGTTAAATTTATTTTTTATTTTTATTTTTATAATGTTTATATAAAAACTAATAATATATAAACTGAGAATAATAACGTAAATTAAATATATAAACTGCATATAACATATATTAAATATATAAAATAAAATTAAATATGTAAAAATATATAAAATTATTATTAATCTATAATTTTGCATTATTCTAATCTGAATTAACTTTTTTTTCATTAATTTTTTTTTTATTTCATTGCAGTTAATATAACTAGTTTAATAGAATTACAGTAGAAATGGTTAATCACGGAAAAATTGTACTAATATTTATATATATAAATACATATATATATATATATATATATATATATATATATATATATATATATATATATATATATATATATATATATATATATATATATATATATATATATATATATATATATATATATATATATATATATATATATATATATATATATATATATATATATATATATATATATATATATATATATATATATATATATATATATATATATATTATAAGTTTAAAAATAATAGTTTTATTTAGTTTGTTCTAATTTTTATGTATAAAAAAAAGAAGCAAGTTTTAATTAGTAAATGATTAACCATTTTTACGATATAGTAAAATAGTTTTTATTCTTCAGTTGAGGAAGAATTTTATGTTAATGTTAATGCAAAAGGTACGAATATTGACAGGTTAGCTAATTTGATGTTACAATAAACATGAAATAAAGTTTTTGAAGACCTTAGTGCTAAAAATACTTGCATGCATTATTCATGCATGCTATATTATAATATAGCATGCATGCATGATGTATTCAAGTATAAAAAAAAAGTTACAAATGAATAGTTATACAAAAAGATTATGGATGTGGTACCGCAAGTATATTCAATTGATTATGCAAGTAAGTTGTCCTACTTTATATCTTTGAAGGCTAATAATAGCTGTAATGAATATATCTCAAACAATATACACTCGAATTGACATTTTAGTTAAACCATCACCACTTCCACAGCCACCTTGTCTCAAGCATTCAATAGCATTCTATGACATCTTCATTCAAATCAAGTGTGACTACTATACCTAAAGACTGTAAAATGGACCAATCTAGTAAGATGTCTAAATTTGTATCTTTAATATAGAAAATTTAGATTGACCTGTTATTTTTTATGTCTTATGAACATATTTAGCAATTAATACTTGTAGGATAGACTTTTTAAAATAAAATTTACAATGCTTTAGTAAATATTTGTTTAGAAAAACTTTGCATAAATAATAAATCTGTATAATAATTTACATTGTAGCTAACCCATCAGTACTTGCAAAGTCTCCTTTTCTGTTAGCCCGAAATTTGAGTTCTAAAATACCATCATTCACACAAAGAGCTACTATATCAAAAGACAATAGAATGGATTGATCAAGTAATACATAATTTTTAGCTTATGTTGCGCGTTAGTTATGTACAATCTTTTAAAATCAATGGATTTATGACTTTATAAATCTATGGATTTATAAAGCTGTTTAATGAACGATTTATATGAATGGAATAAAGATGTTTATTGAGTTATTTTTATTATATTTAGAACTTGTATTGAAAGGAGATTGTACGTCCTCGGTATCCGCAATACGGTATTGTGCATTGGTTCCCATTTTAGAATGGCTCCCTTCCGTATAGGTGGAACTAGGAAAAATTTTGTCCTTTTTTCTAATTTTAAGACAAAGAGGTTTAATCGCTTCAACCAAAGATGACGATGATCATTATGGGGCCGATCAAGATTACGAATACGATAATGCATATAATAATAAATAAAATGATTTTTTTGGTATTTTAGATTTATATAAATAAAAAATTATCTGTTTAACGTTTGATTTGTTTATGAGTATTTAAATGATGCGTTTAGCATTTAACTTTTCTTTACGGTACTTATTTAAAAAAGCTAAAGTAAAAAAAAAGTTCGATTCGTTTATCAAAATTTCTTTTATTTATGCTTCTGTGAATTAGCGCTGTTTAGATTTAATTTAGTTTCGAAAAATCATTATAAACTTAAACGTCGCCATGTTTAAAACAAAAGATGGAGTTTAAATAGCGTTTAAAACTAATCATTTAGATATGGTATAAATGGAACATTCGATTGACCTACGTTCTAGATCGAAACTAAATTAAATCTAAACATTAAGAACGAACCCTAACTAAACGTTGATTAAATGTTGGAATGCCCGCTGGGTATAATATGTTTGTTATAAATGCATTAAATTTCTATAAAACATTGTTAACCAGTATTTTTACTTGGTATTATTTCTTTATTTTATTCCTAAAAATAATTAAAAATTATCTCATTTAAGCATATTTGAGAGGCTCAAAAATGCCTAAATATGATAACTTTTTATTATTAATAGGAATGAAGCGTTTTTAGTGTATTTTGTAAATTAGCCATAAACTATTAACTTCAAAAAGTTAAACTGTTACAATTAAATTAACTGTAACTGTAACAGCTACATATTAAATACTATTAACAGTAAAAAACTTTATTTTTAAATAAAATCAAAAAGTTGAATTTTTAAATACGTTTAAAACATATAAACACTATATAAATAATGTTAAATTGTTAAGTTAGCATCATTATTACAAAGCTTTTTCTTTTTTTTTTTTTTGTTTGCATAACAAGCGTTGAAGAAATCACATTGCAGAATTGACAAGATTTTAAACAATATATATATATATATATATATATATAAAATGGCTAGACCATCCTGTTACTAAAAGATTGGGTAGTAAACAAAAAATAGAAATTTATCTAAAGAAAACACTGCGCTAAACTAACAAATAAAATTCTGAAGAAAATTTTCCAGTATAAAAATGCCATTCCAGTACTTTGCATAGCTCCATTGTAATAAGGGACACTGTTAAGAAAAGCGTTATTATTACATAGATCAGTTTGACAACAAGTTGCCTAAAAATAGATTTAAAAACTATTTTATTTAAATTTGTATAAAATGCAATATAAAATAAAAGTTGTAGATATATAATAAAAATATTATTTTTCATAGATTTATATACATTTTAATGACATTTTGATTGCTTTTGACCCTATATTTTTTATGACCCACCCTATAGGGTGGGTCGTAATAAAAAATTTTTTCTTGTGACAGGCTCTAAACATTGCTAATAGTTATTAATATTGATTCTACCAAATATTAGAATGATTGTGATAGATTAAAAGGGTGCAACTTTATTGGGAAAATTACCGGTACCCTAATATTTTAAAGAAAAAAAAATTTTTTAAAGTAGATCAACCTTGTACTCAAAAGAAGCGTAATTTTATAAAAAATGTTATAATACAAGTCGTTTTAAAAAAATCATATTGTAAAAAAAAATTTCATTAAAAAACATGTAAAAATGCACCTTTTTCACTTTTATTTAAACGCTATAGTTATTATGCAATAAAATCTAAAATAATAATTTTTATATAAAAAAATTATTTTTTTTGAAATTTTTATAAAATTTAGTTTTATTTGAGTACCTATATCACACAATTTTAAAAAACTTTTTTTTTGAATAATAATAGGGCCTGCTAATTTTTGTAATTATAGTTGCGGGTGTAAGACATTGTTCATTCCATAAAAGTAAATACTTTCCTAAATTAGTATATAAAAAAACAATTTTTTAGACCATAGCTAGGTTAGCAACTCTAAAAACAAATTTTATGACCCATCATATCATATATATATATATATATATATATGAATATATATATATATATATATATATATATATATATATATATATATATATATATATATATATATATATATATATATATATATATATATATATATATATATATATATATATATATATATATATATATATATATATATAGATTTCGCTTATTTACTTTCAACTAGTTTATACTAGAAAAAATTTGCGACACAATAACTTTCAATAAGTTAATAAATATGTAATTACATATGTAATAAGCTATTAAAATTTTTGTGCGTCAAATTTTTTCCTAGTTTCGTTCATATACTAGTAAAAATAAAATGCTGACTTTTCCTTTGAAATGCTGACTATAATGCTGAAATATAAAGTTTTATAATTTTGACTTGTATTCATTCTTAAGATATCTTATTATATTACAAAAGGATTTTTATCACGTGAGTTTAAAAACATAGTGTTGGTCGCAAAATACATTTTCATTGAGATTAACTAAATTTGAAGAAAACAATGCTGTTATCTATTTGGGTATAGTTATATAAAGTAGCATTTTAAAAAATTCACAAGAGCCTTTGTTTTTACATTACAAAATTACTCAAAAGTGTGTTTAAGTAATTGTGTTATAAATTTTGTTTTGAACTTCCGGTTTCATAGAAACCGAATGCAAAATCTGACACAGATTTTAGTTTCTACCTTAAAGCATAGATTATAAGTTCTCAATTCATAAAATTAAAGCATAGATTAGAGATCTGGATTCATAAAATTAAAGCATTGATTAAAGTTCTGGATTCATAAAATCAAAGCATAGATTAAAGGTCTCGATTCATAAAATCGAAGCATAGATTTAAGTTCTCGATTCATTAAAGCGACATAATTAAAGCGTATGTAAAATGAATTTATTTCTGATAATATTCTTTCTTCCAAGTGGTAAGTGTTTTAAAATGTTTTCTATGTATTTTCAGTTTGACGTCAATATTTTCCTCAAACTTAAAAGCAAAACTTTTCTTTAGCAATGTGTTTTTTGTGTTGGAGCCAAATAAACAATTCTCCGACAACAACCCAAAGGTGTGAATTGTGCGCGATTTCTCGCATTGAAGCATCAAAATATGGATCTTCATTTAGTTCAATTGTGAAGACGTGTGCATTAAATAATTTAGAATGCAATAAATTGTGTCACGACACTATTAAGACAGTAGCAGTTATGGATTCCTCAATAAAAGTTACTTCTTGTAAGGTAAGTCTTTTAATATAAATAAATATACATGTTAATGTAGATCTTATTTATGTCAAGCTTTGAAACATATTACATGGAAAATAGAGCAAACAATAAAAAATTAGGGAAAGAGATAAATAAATTTAGCATTTTATTAATATTAATTTTTTATTGGTTTCAATAAAGCATAAAGTTATTAAGAGTTGATCCTGAGCCTACACCCAATCAAAACAAAAAATACTAGTCAAAATTGCTTTATTATTTGTTTTGATCCCAATCAAAACAAATAATAAAACTACACTTTACTAATTAAAAATAATTTTGAACTCTATAATAAAAATTAATTATAAATATATATATATATATATATATATATATATATATATATATATATATATATATATATATATATATATATATATATATAAATATATATATATATATATATATATATATATATATATATATATATATATATATATATATATATATATATATATATATATATATATATATATATATATGTATATATTCATATATATATTTATTTATATATATATTTATATATATATATATATATATATATATATATATATATATATATATATATATATATATAAATATATATATATATATATAAATATATATATATATATATATATATATATATATATATATATATATTCATATATATATTTATTTATATATATATTTATATATATTTTTATATATATATATATATATATATAGATATATATATATATATATATTCATATATATATTTATATATATATATATATATATATATATATATATAAATATATACATAAATATATATACATATATATATATATATATATATATATATATATATATATATATATATATATATAAATATATACATAAATATATATACATATATATATATATATATATATATATATATATATATATATATATATATATATATATATATATATATATATATATATATATATATATATATATGCATATATAAATAAGTTACCATATAATAATGACGTTAAGCTGATCGGGCTAATATTTTTTGATAGATAGTTCTTAAAATACTAACGATTCGTTAGTGTAAAAGTCTAAACACAATTGGCTTGGCGTGGGTATATACCAAAAGCTATCAAAGTAGGTCATACTCAATTGCAAATTTAGTTTTAATGCCATAGACTAGAAAATATTTCGAAAAGTAAAATTTAAAATGGGTAATTAAATTAAAAGATTTCGATCAAAATTTTTTTGAGCAAGTCGATGTCCTTAATTTATTATTTATTTTATAATTTATCATAACTTTGTATTCTTATTTTTAATAATTAGATATTAAAAGCGTTTTTGAAAAAGTATCTTTTAAAATTTATCAAAAATTTCGCTTATAGTTTTGTCGAATTACAACACCAACAAAGAAATAAAATTCACAATCTTTAACTAGAGATAGACCAATTCAAATATATAAAAAAATTACGATTCTAATTCCGATTTTAGAAAACATTATCGATTTTTTTCTCATGTATGCTTTTAATCCTTTTTATGGTCTGCCATCACTGAAGTGTTGATATTTTTTCAATTTATTGAACTTTTAATAAGAATTAGCTGTTTTTTCTTACGTCTTACTGTTCTCTTTAAAATCTAACTAATGCGTCACCATGTCTAGTAAGATTAAGTTAAACACCTTTTGAAAAAATAAATAAAACTGAAAATATTTTTTTATTAAATTGTATAAAACAAAAATTGTATAAATTATACTCACACTTACTGTTAGTTAAAGTTTTACCGATGATTCTCCAAAGAATAAATTCCTTAAAACAATGATTCTGACGCAACGTTCATGAGATCTGTAAGATTTAGTAAAAACTGCTCAACTAGTCCTGCTCTACACAATAATAATTCTGTGACAGAACAAAAGATTGACCTTAGAACAATGAATACTTCTGCAATGTGTTAACTAACATTTAATCTAAGCTTGAGTTTTAGCACAATGGCCCAATTCGTCAAAGCGTTTGTTTCAAATAAAAAAGGATTGCCTCTATTAACAGTAAAAAAAAAAAAATTAGCCATCGATTGCAATATAGGTATTCTTATCGATTGCAGTGGTATACTTATCGATTGCTGTGATATTTTTAAAGATTGCGGTGATATCCTTAACACTTTATTCAAAATTACATACTGAGTTTCAAAAATGTAACTTTCTTTTTACTGAGTTTCAAAAACAAGTAACTAAATTCTGCGTCATAAACTGTTATAGAGATTGAGCAATGAGAGGCATAAACTCGTCGTTGTATAATCTTCAAATTATTATGATATATCAAGCATTAGGAAACTTCTTATAAATCAAACTAAATATTAGGTGTTGATTAACAAGTTAGTAAAACCCTCAAACTATTATGATGTATTAAGAAACAGAAAACTTCTTATAAATCAAACTAAGTATTAGGTGCTGATTAACAAGCTAGTAATAATATTTTAAAATCTGACATTTAATTTAATTTAAATTGTTAAAAAATCACATAAATAAAGCAATCAAAATGTCAATAAAATGTATATAAATCTATGAAAAATAATATTTTTATTATAATGTATATAAATCTATGAAAATTAATGTTTTTATTATATATCTACTACTTTTAATTTATATAGTATTTTATACAAACTTAAAAAAAATAATTTTTTAAATCTATTTTTTAGGCAACTTGTTGTCAAACTGATCTATGTAATAATGACGCTCTTCTTGACAGAGTCCCTTATTACAATGGCGCTAGGCAAAGAACTGGAATGGCATTTTTATACTGGAAAATTTTCTTCGGAATTTTATTTGTTAGTTTAGCGCAGTGTTTACTTTAGATAAATTTTTATTTTTTGTTCTACTACCCAATATTTTAGTAACAGGATGGTCTAGCCATTCTTTTTTTATATATGTATTGTTTAAAATCTTGTCATTGCAATGTGATTTTTTCAACGCTTGTTATTCAAACAAAACAAAAAAAAAAGCTTTGTAATAATGATGCTAACTTAACAATTTAATATTATTTATATAGTGTTTATAAGTTTTAAACGTATTTAAATATTTTTGATTTTATTTACACTGATTTTATTTAACAAACTTATTTGTTTAAATTTAATAAACTTTTTACTGTTAATAGTATTTTTTATGTAGCTGTTACAGTTACAGTTAGTTTAACTGTAACAGTTTAA